AACTATTGAAGTGAAATTTTTTAAGTTCAGTAAAATGGCAACATGCCAAAGACATATGAATCCATAGTTTTTTTAAAAGACTAAAGATAGATTTCTAACAAAAATACTATTTCAAAAACCTTCTTCCCTCCAAAATATCTCTCTATTGCATCCTAGCCAATAGAAATACAATGTGAGTCACATACATAATTTAAAATAGTCTCGTCACCATGCTAAAAACACTACCTATCAGTGGCTGATGGTCATTTACTGGAAAGTACAGTTCTGGGAGAACTAGTTATGTGCCTTAAGAAAAGATTAGGATTTACAAACTTGTAAATGCCAAAACTTCTAAAGAACTAAAGAAGAGATTTTATTAGAGGACAAACATATGATATGCTCCTAGAAGGTAGTCTTAATACTTTATATTGTAAACACAAACCCAATTATAATTCCACTGACATTTTGGGAAGACCTGAGAAAATGATTCCAAAGATTGGGAGCATTTGAAAAATGACAAGTACAAGGGCCTACGATGTGCTATAGCAGATATCTAGGTATCATCGGATACTTAGAAATTGTATCAATTTGGGCCCTCGATGATGGTGCGAAGGGTTAAAGCAGAGCAATATGAAGCTAGCCACAGCCACTGCAGCAGGAATTCAATCCCTGGCCAGGGAACTGTCCTACAGGCGCGGCAGACCTCTCCTGACCCGCCCGCTGCTTCCCTCAACAGTGTACTTTGTCAGTCTGCCTGTTCTGCTCCTCTCTCTGTCTTTGGTAAATCTTTTCACCCCCTGCACTCTAGCCTTACCCCAGTTCTGTATGCATAGCTAAATCATTAAAAAACACACACACACAAATTGTATCAATATACAGATTTACAACAATGTAATGCTGGTAGATTGATAAAGAAAGAACTACTATGTTAAGAACTTAGTATATGATAAAGGGAGAAGTATACTAAAGGGGAAGAGTATGTTAACAGATAGTTGTGGGGGGTCACTTGGAAAACATACACAGCAATATGTCTATTTTATAGCTCATTGAAATAAATGTTGTATATATTAATATATAAAAACTAAGAAACAGTAAAGTGATACAAAAATCTATAGCTGATTATATATTTATATATTTTTGGAGTGGGGAATATATCTTTATAATATAGATTATAAATTTATATTAAAGATTCTTGTATAAAGATATACAATCTTGTATAAAGATATTCTCCTTATCAAAAACAAAAACTAGTTTCTAAACTGGTGAGAAGATTCCAACACACAAAACCAAAAAAAGAAAACCAATATTCCTAACATGGTCTTGAACTTTTATAAATTAATTTAAAAAAAAAAAAGATGAACAATTCAAAAGAAAAAAATGGGTTACAAATATAAACAGGACAATCTACAAAAGAAAATACAAATTTTCACCTATCAAGCTGGCAATGATGACAAAATGATGATCATATTCAACAAGGGTAGAAATGAAGGGCACTCCTGGCCATGAGGTTAACAATTCTTATTGAAGGAAATTTGGCAGTATGCATGAAAGTCTTAAAAACATAAGTTCCTTGGCCCTCCCTGGTGGTGCAATGGGTTAAACCACAGCACTAAAGCTAAAGCCACTTCAGCATAAGTTCGATCCCCGTCTGCCCCGGAGGTGACCCACGTGGTGCAGCAGACCTCTCCTGACCCACCCGCTGCTCCCCTCAGCAGTATACTTTGTCGATCTGCCTGTTCTGCTCCCCACTCTGTCTCTGGTGAATCCTCTCACCGCCCCTGCACCTCTGGCCTGTGCCCCAGTTCAGTAAAAAATAAGTACATCATAAAAACAAACAAACAAACAAAAACAACATAGGTTTCTTTCCAATTATACTGTATACCTAAATTAGGAAAATACATAAAGACAGAGTAGAAGAGACATGAGCAGGAGCCAGGGGAGGGGAATGGGAAGTGACTGTTTAATGGGTACAAATTTACTATTTGAGATAATAAAAACATTCTGAAAAGAGATAATGGTGATGGTTGCACAACACTATGCCTTAAAGTCACTGAATTGTATACTGAAAAAATAGTTAAAATGGTAAACTTTATATTACATACATTTACTGCAATTTTAAAAATCCCATTGTATGATCTAGACACTTAATAAACCATTCTACCATTAAACAGTTAGGGTTCCTTAAAATTTTTAATAATTAAAAATAATATTATGATAAAAATATGTATATCTTTTGACCCAGCATTGTTTTCAGTATATATCATATGATAAAGATAAAGAATATGTACAGAGACATACATTGCCCTACTGATACTATTTGTTATAACAATAATAATAATAATAAACTTAAATAACTAATATATGAGCCAGGTTTTCTTTTGTAAGTATAGAATAAGACTACACATCTAGTGTATGAGAGATTCCGTTTTCTGAATGGAACCTGGTAAAATGAGAGCAAGAAAACCAGAATGTCTTTGAGAGCCTCCTCAAAGCTTGTGTAATTGTAGAAGGTATAATACAATCAGTTTAGAGACATAGGGCAAACAGATCTAATCCTACAGACATTTTTGTTTGGGTGTCCCACATAGAAGCTGTAAATCTGGAACAGGAAATTTGAAATCATTAAGGTCACATATTTATAACATCATACTCAATTATGTTAGAAAAGTGCAATTTCTGTCATCATGTCATAAAAAGATGTGTTTTTCTCTCAGATCTCTTCTTAAGAGAAGCTGCCTATATTGTTACAGATAGGGCTGTTTTCAATCAGTTACAAGGAGCAATTCAATTACTAGATGGTTTAGTGCAGTAACTGACTCCAGACTAATTTAATTTCTTTAGGTCTCTAAAGATCAATTGATCTGATTTGTTCCATCCCCAAAGGCTGTTTAGGAAAAATTCAGACTTAAATACCTGGAAATGAAATCCAAAACCTTGGCCAATTTCACACTACTTAGGTCATCTTGCAAACTTCAGCTAGTCACATAGATGCTCTCTTGGCCCTCAGACCATTGAAAGCTACTTAGTTTCACGTACATGTGAGTGCTCTCCACATCAGGATGCTTATTCAATAAGTGGAAAATGTGGCTGCATGCATTATCAAATCTGTCATTCTGAAGGGCAGTCGGTCTGGGGAGTCGAGTTTCATGCACACATGTGCAGCCAAGGGGCTATTTTTACTCTAAGAGTAGTTTATTAAGACTGTTAAAAGTAGACCCAGCTGGGGAAAAGCATGCTTATCTAATAAGATGAGAAACTTATAATGAATTTACACTGTTAGATTGATAAAGTGCTTTCATAAATGTCGTCTTACATGGTTCTCATAATAAACTTATGGAATGAGCAGGGCTAGTTTCTCCATTTTCTAGATGAGGAAACAGACTTGAAGGTTAGGTGACTTCTCCAAGATCGCTCAGTCAGTAAAAAGCAGACCTGAGTCTCAAGCCCTTGCCTGTTTCTCAACAAATCATGCTCACACCCACTCTGAAGAGATATGACATACATTATCAAGCAAAGCACAGTTACCCATTGAGTCACTGTCTTCAGTACTACCCTATGCCTGACTAAAACTGGGAAAAAGCACGTTATAATGCCAGCTGCATAAACCCAATCTGAATCCATGCCTCTGACATGCAAGTAGATGAGAAAGTGAAGTCTAAACCAGAGCAGCCTCTTTATCTGCCCATGACCCAGCTACTGGGAGAGTTACCCACTTGGATTCTCTCTGCATTTTGCAATGGCTTTTCAACGGCAAGCTGAAGACTCTTTGACCTCAATAACCCAACCACCTGTCATGCTCTCCAACTAATTAATCTTTCTTTCCTACTCAAGCCCCACAGTTCCTGTCCAATATAGCTTTTCTGCCTCCCCCACCAAGTCTCTATCTGTTCCTCCCAAATCAAAACTACCCCACTATGTTCTGTCACTTGGGAAGTCTCCAGGAAGATCAGATATATGTTGCTAAAATAGGCAATTATCCCTTAATTTACATTGCCAGGTCAGGGTGGGGAGTAGTGTGGAGGTCAGAGTTAACCATGTGACAGGTAATAAAGAAATGTGGAGCACTGGTAGGGAAATCACACAAAGATATGAAAATAAGATAAAGCAGAGGGCTGGTGACTAGGGTACTCTACCTGTCTATAAAAACTTGAAGCCACATAAAAGAATGTCCAGAAGATGAATAGGTTGTTAAGAGATACTATAAAACACAATGACTACATTTGATAACACTTTGTGGTATAATTGAAATTTACTAAGAGTAGACCTTAAATATTTTTATTAAAACAGAAAAATATAAAATAAAAAGGAATGCATACAGAAAATTATGTATTATATTTAAGAGGTACAAATAATCAATTTGAAGAAGCATGCATTATTTTGACATTCATATGATGCAAACTGTATATCTCAATATAGTCACTCTCATGACAGTGATTGTCTCATACTGTGTGAACTACTTTAATTAGGTAAAAAGTGAGGTAAATTATAGGCACAAGACTGTCATTTGTCTTCCTAAAGGTTCTGAGGTAAGATGCCTCTCCTATTAAATATTAGCAGTCTACACTACAGGTAAAATCATGTGCCCTGAATTAAATTACATCTCTTTGCTCCAAAATACCAAGTTACCAATAAATTCTTTGTGTTAGCGAATATATCCACTTCTGAAAGCAAAAATCCATCAAAATTCCATTTGTCTGCAAATTGCCACTGAAGACAAAGTTTAAGATCATCAAGAAGACTGAGTCATTGATAACAATGAAGCCCTATGTTTTTCACAGATGAATAAATGTCCTATTCAAAGAAATCAGTTCACTAAGAAATTGACCATAGGCTAGAACCAGTTGCACCAGTTGGCAAAACAGATCTACCGGCTTTCTAAGTAAAGGAGGGATGTGGCAGGCAGAGGATCGGAGACTGCTGTAAAGTTATAGTTCCTTAATGCTGAAAGGAGCACACACTTACAAACTCGCTCTTCTCTTTTTTCTTGTCTGGATAAAACAATAAACCAAAATTCTCTTTACCTCTCAATGTCAGTGAGCCTGGAGGAGTCCCGGAATCCTTTGGCAAAAGGATTGCTATCTATTTTCAGCTTGGTTATCTGAAAAGGAAAGAATGGATAACAAAACAGTATCATTTCTGAGGTCAAAGAAGTAAATCAGAAATAGTCTGTTTATTTTCCATGGGACTCTAAGAATATCTTAAGTCTGTGAGTATCATGAGAAGAGTCGAAAATATCTCAGAAGGAGGGATCACAGCCGCCTGGTGCAGTGGTCAGGGAAGGCCTCAAAGAAAAGGAGGTAGTTGAGGACAGCTGAGTCTAGAGAACAGTCAACTGAGACAGTTAGGAATGGGAGCCTTAAAGAACACTGTGTCTCAGCTGTGAGGTATCTGAGAGAGTACTGAAAGGTTACATCTTGGCTTGAGTGCAGCCCCTATATGGAGTAGTCTAGAATGTAACATTAGTGGATAACAGGGAATAAAAATAAGAATGTTGCCTCATGATGACTTGACAATATTTATTAATCCTGGGGTATGTATATATACCACAATAGCCTCATGATGTAAATATATGGCATAAATTTAGCTTTCAGAATATTTATTCCCTTGTTTCCCTTTCCATTTGACTAAATATGAATCAAATTATTCTGCCTGTGTATGCTTCCATATTATTTCAAGAACTCTATGCTTTCGGTGTGAGTGGGAGGGGAAGAAAAACTTCCTATTAAGAATCATAGCCTGAAGTATTTACTGTGTCCATACTGTGCTAGTCATGACTCCCATAATATTAACATTAATGTAGAAGGCCATTCAATCATATACACTGTGCCTCCAAGGAAATCTATTAGCATATTAGGTGATGAAGCAAAAGCTATAAGGAAACACTGATTAAATGATAATCTACTTGTAAAATTCCTGATTGTTAGAGCTGAAAGGATCCAGCACAGTCAGTATCTAAATGAGAGAAACAGAAACCTTAAGAGAATATCATTGCTTATCAACATCAACATTAGAACCCATGTTCATCTTTAGAGAAATAAAGTGTCTTTTTCTGGAAAAAGAAGTTACAGATAGATAGAAGTCTTCCTCTTTCAAGTTAAGAGTTTATAAAAACACACAGCCCAATACAGTTTGAAATACTATTTTGTCAAAAGGCAATGATTTTTCTGATCAGAGTATATTTACTATTTATTTTAAACCAGGAACACCTAAACAGTTGTTTTTCTTACAAAAGAAAGGCATTTTTATCCTTGTCAAATTTTCTCAACGTGAGCTTACTAGTGCAAAAGCTACAATGAAAGGACTTACCTGGCTAAATACAGAGCTTCCCACACTGTCTTGCCAAGAGAATTGCAATTCTCTATCACTAACCCTGGCAAGTGATGCATTGGTTATTTGAGACTATTAATTTTTAGGGGACTTGTTATTATCTCTGAAATGCACATTTTTAGCTTATGAACTTAGATTCTTGATCAGTCAAAAAGATGTTAATTCCTCTTCAGCCTACTTAATGGACAATGATAAGCAGCTCTGTCTCAAACATGACTACTGCTCAAATGCTCGAGGATTTATGAAGGGTAAAATTGCTTCAGCTGTTTTCTCTGATTAGGTTATAGCTTATAGGGTTAATTTTTACAATGAAAGAGCAAGTTTTTATTTCAGTGAAATAAATTATAGACATTTTCTAAAGTTTAAGAAATCAGTATATCCTAAGATTATAAAACAACAGACTTTAAAATTCTCAAGGACAAAAACTGCCTCTTTCTCCTGAATAATTACAAGTTAAAATATTTTATATTTCTAAAGTACTTTATAGCTCATGAAAATACATCCACATTAATTCACCACCAAATATTTAATGAGAATTGATTACTTATTGTACGCTATGCTAAATGTTGAATTATGCAAAGACAAATAACTCATAGTTCACCCCAAAGGAGGTTAAAATTTCAAGGAGCAGGCAAAGAGCTGCACAGCTATCCTGAAAAAGAAGTGATACTGAAAAGGGGGACATCACATCTACATCAGGGCTAGTGACATTACGGGTGAAAAAAATCCAGATAAAAATTCAGCCTGAAACAACATTGTTAAGTGGAACATTAAATAAAAGTAAGGCTTCTTTCAAGTTTAATTCCAATGAGTTCATTTATAAAATTAAGAGGTGAATAGACTTGACAATGGTTAAAAATTTGTGGGGACAATGGCAGAGAATGTGATAAAATTTTGAAAAGAAGTCCTTCAATAGCGAGCACTCTAAATAATGTACAAAGATCAAGCTGTGAGTCTACAAACTGAAAGGACAGAAAGTGTTATCTGTTAGAATAAATAAAGAAGGACTTTAGATCTCCTTTGCCCTGAGAATTATATTTGTTGTCCTTCATTATTGCCCAAAGGTAAAGACTACTGGCTCAGTGTGTGGTGACTGTAGAGTTGTCACAGGGTATAAACATTTACAACCATGTGTGTTGTTCAACTGAAGTGTCACCATATATAATACCACTACCATAACTTAGATGAGAACTATATTCAACTAAATCAGATATGTTTGATTTAGTCTAAATTTATTTCTACTTGTAGTGTCTTTTTAATGCTTTTATAATCCTTAAGAGTGTCAAAAGTAACTCTCTTTCTTTACATTTTGATGTAATTCCAAACTGTAGCAAAGTTTTCAAAACAGTACATCACCTAGATTTACCTATTAGTTACAGCAATGACTGAACTCTAGTGTACTAGTTAGAAACGGAGCTTAAGACAATAACCAAGCATTTAACATTTTTTAGAGCCATTTTATCTATTTCCAGAGAAATAATTGTGTTTGGAAGCTAGTGGGGGAAAATATTCATGAAATGTAATACAGGAAAGAAAACAAAGAAAAGCTGTCTGGATCTCCTATCACTCAAACTGTATGTGGGACTTTGATGGCCATAACCATCTTGAACAGGTTTCATGGAGGATGATAAGTAGCGCAGAGACCATGGGTGGGACTTCCTGATGAATCCAACATACTTGCTGTATTATTATACTCTGGATCTACGGCCCCTGAAAGGAACAGGCTTGTTAAGAGATATCCGCATAGACAATGTTGTGCAGTTTTGGACAAGAGCTCCTTAAGCTCTTTTTGAGTTCATATAAAAAAGCATTTTATTTTGCTTTCTAATTTAAGATTAAATTTTGGGTTTTTAAAAAAGATTTATTTATGCATACAGAACTAGGGTACATGAGAGAGGTGCAGGGGGTGGTGAGAGGCTTCACCAGAGACAGAGTGGGGAGCAGAACAGGCCGACTGACGAAGTACACTGCTGAGGGGAGCAGCAGGTGGATATGAGAGGTCTGCTGTGCCATGTGGGTCACCTCCGGGGCGGGAGATCGAACTCATACTGAAGTGGCTGCTGCTAGCTTGCAGTGCTGCGTCCTAACCACTGCACCACCAGGGAGGGCCACAAATAAATTTTTAATTGCAAACAATTTACATTCTAGGTAATCATGAGAGTTTAAAGGTCAGGCATAGACTTTATTCCATGGATATTTAAATAAAAGGACATAGTTTAATTGAAAGGAATTCATTCTTTTAGATAGTTTTATACCCATTTATGAAATTTAGGATGACTGAAAATGTTAGATTTTTGAAAACTGATGAAAATACCTGAGTTGTTAGGTAGCTGGACATTAATTCATTTGCTCCCAAAATACAAAACAATGCTGTTCAAGAGTATCACCCATGTCAAAGGTACTAGTAGTGAAACAAGGACCCAAAAAGTCAACTGCAAATGTAATAGGTGAAGAAATCCATGTGAAAATACTGGTATATTTCTTTATAATTCAAAAACATGTTTTAATGTAGCAATGTTTTTCATTTCAGAAATGAAAGTGTTAACAAGGAGAATGGTATATATTTAAGAAATCCTGCAACTTAGTGTTTATTTATATATATGCAAATCGCTGACTAACTGAAGCCAAAATATACCTGTTTTGTCATATATTATCATAATGATAACAAATACAAAGCATTCCCTAAGCGGAAAAGCCTACTCTTTCAACATCTCCTCTCTCTGTAGATAAATGAAGGCTTGAAGGTGTAAGTTTTTGACTTTGCCAGCTATACGGAAGAGAAGGGGACCTTTCCACCGGCTATTATTCCACATGATGTCACTTGGCTCAATCTGTCTGGGGTTCCCAACCACAGGTGAAATTGGCCCTCAGAGACCATTTCCCCAATTATCAGGAAAAGATCTGCCCAAAGGCATTTCAAAATGAAAACTGACCTCCACTTCAACTCTACAGTCATAGTCTGCCTGCTCAAAAACAATGTATGACCTTTAAATCTTAAATTATAAAACAGTTTGTTGAAAGTGTAATGTATTTATCTTTTATCTAATAATGTAAAGAAATGTAATCATTTCCTTGCAAAAACCAGAGAAAGAAATAGCAAGGAAATATATCTAATTTTCATTTTGCCTAAATAAAAGTACCAGTTACAATTAATGAGAAGCTTGTCCACAAATTCTGTTGGAAACTTTATTTTGCTTTTGATATATATAAAAATAACAATCGTCTCCAATATTAACAGGTATGAAGGCGAGCTTAAATGTAAACTTTTAAATCTTCATCTACTCTTTTCTCACTATTCTTTGTGAGTGGAAAAATTCTAGTAGTTATCCTAAATACATGTTTATTTTATTTGTTACCCCTGTATTTTTCTTATTATATGTTTGCTATCAGAAATCAGTACACAAACACAGTATAACAATAAAGAAGCAGTAGAGGTGGGGAGGCCTAGAAAGAATTAAAAATTTAAAAATTTAGAAAATTGCATAGGAGGGCCCTTCCTGGTGGCACCAGGTTTAAATCACAGCCACTATGAAGCAATCTGCAGCATGAGTTAGATCTCCTGCTAGAGAGCTGACCCACATGGCACAGCAGACCTCTCCTGTCTCACCAACTTCTCCCCTCAGCTATGTATTTATTATATCTGCCTGTACTGCTCCTCACTTTGTCTCTGGTGAATCCACTCACCCCCTGCAGCTCTGGCCTGCACCCCAGCTCTTGTGTGCATAAATTTAAAATAGGAAAGAAAACTGCATAAGGACAAGTGAAATACTCAACCCACAAATTGTTTTACTCATGCCATGTTTATTGAACACATGCTACATAAATTTTTATTTGTCTTATGAGGTCTATAAAACACAAAAGTCATCATTGATTAGCAAATCAAATCTTTGACTATTAAGTGAATTTCATTCACATACATGTGTGTATAGACACATATACACAACATTCACACACAGCATTGTGCTGGTAGTAGATGTATAGAAATGAACTCAAACACAGCAGAATCTACTGGAAAAGAATAGTTCTAAATCTAATCATGTCTATTGTGTATTATGAAGCAATGAAATAATATCTTAATAAGATTAATCGTTATATCTAATGACGCAGGAGGAACAGCTAGGCACATGTAGCTGGATTTCAAGCATATTTATAATCTCAGAAATAAACATTTGCTATAGATACACACAAGGTGTGTGTTTATTAGTAACTTAACCTATTTTAATTTAGAAACATATTCTAATTCAGCTTTCAAATCTCTGACACTGTCAATGGCCACATCTTTGGCTTGTCCATCTAGCAAAAAGTCATCAGAAAGCAGGAATTGAGACCCCGAAGATCAAATACTCAAGATATTTGTCATTTACCTGACTTGTGAACTTAGGTGAGTGCCTTAACCACTATGACCCTCGGCTTCTTCATCTACAAAGAAGGACTCATGAAGCCTTCATTGGGGATAGTGTCAGAATTAACTGAGGTATTGAGAATTAACTGAGGTATTGAGAAAAACAATGTGGAGGGATTTTCTGTGTTGAAAGTAATGAACCTAAACCATTAACTTTGTTAGATCCTGGTTTGGGGGGAATGGGGATTTTGAGGTTATAAAAGATATTTGTTAGTCTATTTTGAAAGTGTGAGTATAAACTGAATTTTAGATGATAATAAGGAGTGGTTGTTATTAATTTTCCTAGCTATAATAAAGACATACAGTTACAAATACTGTATTCTTACTGTCAGCAAATACTTGCAAAGGTGTATATAGGCAAAGTATGAGGTATGAAACTTAGAAGTGACTCAGGCAGGAGAAAAATATATATTTGCTATATATGTGTTATATAGATTACATATATTATATGTGTGTGTAGATATATATAATATACCTATATACAGAGAAGGAAAAAGACATGAAGATCAGTAAAGCAGATATGACAAAATACTATTTATTCAATCTGGGTAAAAAGTTCATGGATTCTTTTTTACCATTTCTTTAACTTTTAATTTGTTTGAAATTTATCTAAATAAAAAGTTGGTAGAAAAGAAAGAATTAAATGAAATGTCATTAAAGCATCTTATTAGGTGCACATAAAGCATTGGCACCCTCTAGAAAGAATGTCTCAGAGTCCATCAGAATCAAAAGATAAGAGAAATTGAAGTTCTGCTTCCTAGGAACATCAGGCTTCTATAGCTCAGAGGGAAAGGATAATTCTTAACTTCTAACCACCTAGTTCAAATATGTGAGCAGAGCAGTAAGATCACTTTGGGTGATTTCTTTGACTCGATGCCTCAATTTTCCCAGCTGTAGAATGTAGAGTAAAAAAGCTGTTATTCCTATCTCATGGCATCACTGCAGGGATTAAGTAAATTCATGCAGTTAAAATGATGCCTTACTCAATACCTATCCAAATATTAGTTCTTGTTGTAATATGAGCTTCCAGCGCCATCCTTTTGCTTGTCTTGAAGTATCTAGACCAAAGAATCTCCATATGTCTCTTCCAGTAATCACCCAACTCTAAACTCTGATGCTTCTATCAGGCAGCACCCTGCAGTTATTCCCTCAGCATTCTTACTATAAACTAAGAGGAAAGGAAAGCCACAGACCTAGTTATCTGCAACTACCCCAATAAAATCAAAATATGAAGATCTGGAAAGGCTACACACAGCCAAATTTGTCAAATAAGATGACAATGTGAGTTCCATTTATTGAAAGGAATGCTATTTCTGGTTCTTCCTGATTATGGGAAAATTACTTATCCTCTTATGGCTTCAGATGCCTCATCATAAAGTGTGATTATCACACTAAGCCCTTCAGAGTTATACTGAACATGAAAGAAGAAAATATACAGGGAATATCTAAGAGCTCCTGGCCCTTCCTGCATAAGACTTTAATAAATATTTACTGAGTTGAATTAACTTTTATGGACGAATGAATGCATAAATTTTAACTTGTATAACAAAAGGAAATATGTAACTCAATATTGTAGATTGTCCTGATGCTAATTAAATATCATAATTCATTATCTAAAGAAACATTTAAAAATAATTCTACTAAAATTATCTATTCTAGATTACAGCTGAATGAGCCTCAATAAAGTACCAATATTAATGAACTACTAAATTTTATAACCCTATGAGTGTAGATAAGTTATATACTTCATGTGGCTCTACCAGGAGGAAAATGCAGTAGGTTATTTTCTAGAGAAATAGATTTAAAAAGGCAGATTGGGTCATGTTAGGGTGGGGCTATGGAAAAGAATATTAAAGATTCTAGAAAAGATGATAACATTGAGCCAAGTTACTCAACACACTTAAGACAGTCTGGGGCGGATTTGCAATAGCTCTCTCCAAAGTGATCTTCTACTTTGAATGCTGGGATAGTTCTCCTCTCTAAGAAAATGGGATGAACCCCCTAAATTCTCATCTTACTCAGGAAAAAAATTGTGCATGGTACTCACCAGTTGATTCTGATAAGCAGTCACTGCCGTAAAGACCGTCTCTGGAAAAATGAAAGTTCTGAATTCTTCAGACTTCAGATTGAGCAATGATGCTGTGTGGTCTTTCTTCTTGATGATGTGTACCCGAGGCTGATACTTATGCATTGAATTCAAAATTATCTACATCAAAGAAATGGGAAGGACTGAATTTGAAATCCATTGTTAATCAGGCCAAATGATAACAAGGAAAAGAAAAAACCTGTACCTTCAAATTCAGCTTTAACACTAGGATCTTCCCAGATCCTCCCTGGTGGTGCAACAGGTTAAAGCACAGCACTGCAAGCCAGCTGCAGTCACTTCAGAGTGGATTGGATCTCAGGCCCCAGAGGCGGCCCACATATTGAAGCAGACCTCTCCTGACCTGCCCACTGCTCCCCTCAGCAGTGTGCTTCATAAGTCTGCCTGTTCTGCTCCCGGCTCTGTCTCTGATGAATCCTCTCACCTCCCCTGCATCTCTGGTCTGTACCCCAGTTCTGTACGCATAAATAAATCTTAAAAAAAAAAAAAACCACAAGGATCTTCCCTTTCCACTCTAAAGGCAAATAATTTACATAGAGTACTGCAGAGTCACTGCTGTGAATGACATTTTACTAAACAACAGCAAATATTATAGGTCATTTCAAGTGTCCTATCTAAAATAATGGAGGAAAAAAACCACTGGATGTTGTTTATTTATTTATGTGAAATCCCAATCTTAATAAAATGTTTTTGATAGTCTGGTTAGACCAAAACATGTAAACATGTGTGTCTCAATTTTTTAAAGCAAGAAATTATATATTCTAGGAAGACAGACTGTTATTTATAGTGGAAAAATAATCAAAGAACTCAGCAAGGCAAGTTGGTATTAGATATTGGCTAGAGGACTGAACTTACTGCTCTCTAGCTCTCTAATCTCCAGTCAAGTGACTTACCTTTCTAACCTCCAGTTTTCTCAAATACAAAAGTTTTAATTTCATAGAAGAGTGTGATGAGGATTAAACACTACATAGCAAATACTACAAATACTACATAAATACTACATAGAATTACTCAATAAATATAAACTTTATTGTTGTTGTTATTATTCTGATGGCTTCATTGATTCCTGACTTCCAATTTATGAACTAAACATAAAATGAAGTGATGCTCATCTTCCATATTCCTTAGCTAATAAAAGTGGCCAGTATTTAGAAATCATAAAATACCCTGGTTAAAGAGGCAGCATTTTTTCACGCATATTTTAAGTAAATGGGGGGGGGGATGGGGGAAGGGCGTGTCAGGACAGAAGGAAGGGAGGGAAAAGAAGGTGGAGAGGTGGTGGGGAGAGTAAGCAAAGAACATATGCAGATGCAAGTGTGAAGTTATACTTCCAAAATTACAGTTTAGTAAACTAGTGGCGAATTAATAAAAGTTGAAAATATGTATAATAATTTGCTGTTATTAAATGAAAATTAGCAGTTACTTTCAGATATTAAAGGTTTTCTATATTCTCCCTCCTGTCAGCTACATAACTACCTAAATCTTCAAAATCAGCTATGCCTCTCCTGGTGTAACAGAGATCACAATGTACAGCCTTCACTCCAGGGGGTCTGGTTGAGAGCCTGGCTCTCAGAGGGGGCGCTTGATAAGTCACATGGTGGATAATTGTTCTTGTTGACTTCAGCAGCGTTAGATCCTAGTGATGGAGAATCAATTTCCTGTGTGTTGCAGTGTAAGCCAACTTAAAGTTACAGGGCATTAACTCATAATGGAAACTTGAAGAAACCCTCTTTTTAAGATCCCAAACTTGAGCAGGAGTAACTGAAACAAATGAGTGGTTCAAATGAATTGAAATACATTAAAAAAAAAAAAGTCAACCTCTTTGTGTAATACATTTATTCTAAGGAGCTCAAGGTAACTGCTTGATCACAAAAATGGAGTGTACTCAAAGTGATGAAAGTGAATACTTGCCTTTAATACTGACATAAGTAAACAACCTGAACATTCATTATGTCCTACTAAGATAACAAAAAGAAATTTCAAAGCATTTATGTGCGGGCACTCACACACATACACACAAATAGAAAAAGTCCTAAACTCTAAATAAGCTCCCTTCTCCCTAGTTCCATTCCTGAAAGTCTGTTCCTTTGGGAACAGGTGTCCTTAAGGAATAAGTGTCAGTGTTCAGAGCCCAGGACTCTGTGACTCTGTTCAAACCCACACGGGGCTAAGGAACACTAAATAAAAACATGAACTGTTTCGTCAAAGACACAGATTCCAATAAAATAAACGAATAACTAAAATATTTTAAAAATTAAAGAAAAAAGCAAAGACCTGAATTCCTAGAAATACTAATTCCTGTTATAAAACTAAATGTGCATCTAATAGAGGGACTAATAAAGACAGACTCAAAGAAGTTGGCAAAGAACACAGAATCTAGAAATCTTTCCTTATTATTTTCAGAACACACTATTTCTGCTGACAAAGTTATATTAAATAATTAAAGTTTTAAGTTACAAATGGGTATCAGTAACCAATGAAGACTAAATCATTTGTCAATGTCTAAATCTGGCATAATCAGAACCAAGAGCTCCTGAATTTCACTTTAGTGTTATTCCTACCCATGAACCTGATGCTAGAAGAAAAACATCAATTCTAATAGCTTTTCTAAAAATGAATTCTCAAGGCTTCCTGGAGAGACTCAAACAACTCTTTTGAATGTTTTGCATATAGAAAAAACCAAAACCGTAAGAAATTTTATTTCTTTCTGCAAAGATTTCAGCAGAGTTCAAGAATTTTTTAGGATTGATCATTTACCTATAGAAAATGTCAGATACATCATAAATTTTAACCTGAGAGGGGGAAAAAATCTGTCAAAGGAAACTTAAAAAATAAAAAGGACAAGTATGCCAACAAATCCTTAGAGACAAAAAGTCAGCTATCATTTTTAACATACAACATAGCAAGAAAGCTGTGGGCCATTTCCACCACCCCATGCAGAATCATGAGTCACTAGCTCCTGTGACTTAACTGTGATAAGAAAGATCACCTGTGAGTAAATGGATGCTGGCAATTTCTGAAGTTACTGATTTGGCCCCAGGTTAAACCCAGCCATTGGAAATCATGTCTAAAATTCTCCAATTCATTACCTACTTATAAGCATATTTTTTAGCAAAAATTTTGAAATTATTCTTCTCAACTAAATAGATACAACAAAAACTAAAGTTTTCAGGCAATGACAGCCTTAATAAAGGTGATAAGCGAGAATAATTACATCAGAATGTCTAAGTCAAGGAAAACAACTATGAAAATACAAATTAGCTTTCAGGCAATCAAGGGAAAAAAGAAACACTACTGTTCTCAACCAGAATAAGCATGTAAGTTGGTCTAGAATGTTCTGAGCATAAAATCTCAAGCATCATTACATGTAATTTCATAACATTACTGAGAGTTCCTTGAAAAGGAATCTTATCAAATGTGTAAAGGCCTTGCTCAATGCTATTGGTTTATTAACAACCGACAAGAGCTAGGAATTTCAATTTCTCTTTTCTCCATATTCTGATTAACAATCTGCTTTGTTTGTGATTGCAAAACTTCTATATCTTTAATATTCTTAAGATTCTCCTTACAAAAATGATATAGAATGAGTAACTATATCTGAGTAATGATATAGAGTGAGTAACCAAATTTATTTGCCTATAGTAACCTGTTGTTCTATTATATCTGACATGAAAGTATTCTATAGAACACACTTTGAGAGGTCTTATCTGCTTTCCCTTTATGTTATCTGATACACCACTGACAGAAATGAGATGTTTAACCCCCCAACATGCTGTCATAGCTTCCAAAATGCATGTTCCCTTTGTTCAGTTGGTGCAGATGATAAAGTGGCTGCAGAAGTCTTAGGAAAGTCAAAATGTAGACAGTTCTGGATCTTCCTGGGTAGAAATGGAACATGGTACCCTGTAAGTGATCCCTTGAGAACAACAGTAAACATCCCATGAAGAACATGATGCTGTTCTCACAGAAAGCTTTCATCTGATGACTCCCAGATAGAGTGTAAGAGGGGATCTGACAGAGAGGAAGAGATTCAGAAAGCAGAAGTTGTGTGTGATGACTCTGTGGAGAGTCCAAGCATACTTACATGGCCATGTTGATCCAGTTCATTATTGGTGAGTTTCACCTTTTCAAAAGATACCATTTGTTTGAGTAGCTGCTCACCGGTAAAAGGGGAATCTGGGTGTACATACAGCCTGAGGAAAATTATCAGAAAACCTTATTGAGATATACTTAAAAAAAAAACCTATTCTCTGTAGTTTACAAAATATTTTGATTCAAAAGGTTCACAAAACCTCATCTGAATGGTGAATTTTATTCACCACCATATGTATCAAATTTAACAGTGCAGCAGTACTAAAATAACTCTAAAAACATCTGAATATGTTTTGCATATTAATATACCAATGACCAAAAAGGGGTAATATTTAATAAAATTTCTATTATCTGCTAAGTCATTTTTTAAAGGTAAGTTTTCTTCCATGTGCTCTGTTTCTGACAAATATAAAATCTTATTGTTACAAGTGGGTATTTGGTATTTTTGAAACAAAGACAAACTAACTATATAACAAGTCCCTAGTACAAGCACTGCTAACAAGCAAAGATGAGAGAAAGAAATTAAAAGAGAAAGCAAACCTAATTAATACAATTATTTAAACTTGAAGGTGATTCCCTTCAAAGTTTCTTTTATTGATAAGACAGATCAATTTTAATAGAGTGACCTGAGTAACTTTTATAGTCACAGATCAATCCCTGTCTTCCTCAGATCCACTACACACTACAACTATTTCATCAAATAGTTAAGTACATGCTAAATGACAGTAGAAACAAACTGAATAAGCTTCAAGCTATTCAGTGTATTTATGTATAAATAACCTAAGCTCCACCCACCCACCCCCCAAAAAAAATTGGATGGCAAAAAAAATATCTATTTGTCATGTATTTACTCACTGATTATCTGTCATAGGCAAGGCAATCTTCTACTCAATGAAAATTACATGCTGGCCACTTGCTCTACCTGAACCATTATGCTAAGTGTATGTCTTTGTGTATCCTAATCCTGGTGTCCACTCAACTTAAGCCATTCCAAAACTGGGGGAGATTATGTACAGAGCTAATTAGGTGGGCAGCAAAAGTCTCCATTTAAATAAAAGGACAAATTCTTTCATTCATGTAACAGGTTATTTCCATCAAAATTTTGGACAGGATCTTTTTTATTATAACTAAACAAGTAACAAAACCTTTCCTTGCAACATTTATATAAAAAAGAAGTCTGTGCAATGGTTTGAGCACAGAGAACTAAAAATAGAAGAACAGGGTCCATGTGTGGAAACATAGAAGCTGTTTAATGTTTTTCTTAGCGCTGCTCAAAATTGCCTCTCAATTGTTGAAGTATTCTTTCATGACATGGTCATAACAGCTTTTCAAGTGTTATCCTCTAAGGGTGTATTTTATAAGTGCAATTGTTTTATTGATCAGCACCATATTTCACAACCCCTCCCCTCAATAGGTTCAAAATACTTAAAGACCTAGAAATTGATGAAATGTTTCCTCTTTAATGATTACTTCACCTTTTGTAATCACATTAACAAAAAGATAAATTTAATTAAAGATCAATAACTTTAAAGAAAAGGTCCTACATTAAGATATAACATTATTCTAGATCATATAAATGTCCTGCCCACTATTATGTTCACACAATAATGCCAAGAACTACTTCTCATTAGTAAAAGCTGACTGATGAATTTCAGACTGAAATAAATGTTTGGAAGACCTAGAACCACAGAGAATTTCTACCACCATTACAAAAATGGTCACCTCCCAAGTTCCCCAGCCTTCCATAACAAAGTTGGAAAACAGAAACAAGATAATAGTAACTACAAAAAAATCAAACACTTGTTTAAATTACTGAGTATATTTCTATCTTATAATGTATTAAACTGGTTTATCAATATACATATACATACATATATATACATATATATATATGTACATATATATATGTATATAAACTGAACCAGGATGAATGAAAGAATACACAGGAAGCCCCTCCTCTTTGAAGTCCCCTCGGACTTAAAATTCCAGCAATAACTTAAACATGCTTGAGTTAAGATAGCGTATTGGAACATGCTTTCCATCTCCAACCAGAACAGATTAGTAACATAAACAAGGCATGTCATATTTCCAAAATCCTGCCGGCCTGCACCAGTTCCCCCTAACTTCAGATATGGAGAAAATGTATGTTAAATAACAGTGATTAACTTCTTAGAGGAAACACTTTGAAAAAAGAAATGAGGATTTGCCTATAAAATGGTTAGGAGCATGCTGAAACATTTTTCTCTTACTCTTTTTAGAACAAAATTGAAAAATTTGGAAGGAAGATTTGGAGATTGAAAAAATTTGGAGATTAAAAGTAAATTAGTTATTTAGCAATAAATAACAGAAAACACTAATTCTATTTATTTTAATATCTACTGTAAACTAGTGGCTCTTGCTCAATTAAACAAACAATAGTTTTTCACAAATTCCTTCATTCTGTTATTTAACATGCCAATTTGCATACTGGCAGTTATCCCACCTAGTCTATTACTGACTGGCAGGGAGATCCTGCTTTTCATCTCTTTTCTACTGCATTTATAGCATACTATCAGCACAATACTTTGGTCAACTACTAGGTAAATTTAATTTTACATCTGAACTTGTATGCATAAATATCTGTGTTCTCACTGTGCCTTGCTAAGACTTCAAACTCAACATTTCAAATTTCCTAAATCTGTATATTAAAAATAATTCTTAACTCCGTTAAGAACTCAATCAGATACAAAATAGTCACAAACCAATTAAAGGCTGTGAGGTTTTTGTTTTAGAGCCTTAACTGTAAAGTGAGATATTGTTCTTTGTTTTGTGCTCAAGTAAGCAATTAATTATTTTAAACTTCAACTATTATTATTCACATATGCAAATACAGCTCTTTCTCCACATAATGTCCAGGGCAGACAAATAAAAGTTCCCAAGTGATTTTTTTAAACTGTGGACATCTAGGGAGGAAAAAATTATTAGCAATAAATAATAGAAAGTAAATTTATATCATTTTAATATATTAAAAAGATATTAAATTTACAATTGTATGGAGAGAAAAAAAAGAGTTTGCTTTTCTTACTTAAAAGCTCTAAGTCCTTTACTGGTCAAAAACAACCACTTTTTACCCAGATAATGTTAATTATGTGCATATAAAACTGTGTTATTTAAACTAAGATTTACTGTAGACAACTATTGTACTAAAATGCACTCCTTTAGAAAAGATTTCAAGCAATTTAAATTTCCAATTAGAAATAATGACTACTATATGAAATGGACCCAGATTTCTAACATATATCCAAACTGAAATTAAGAAAAACTTTGGAATGAATTACAATGAAAAATCAAATTAAAGACAGTGTTTTGTCTATGCACAAATTCTGTCCTTTTCAGAGACTGACCTGTATTTCACAGAGTTAAACCCGAGTGTGTCTGAGCTTGGAATGTTCTCTTGCCAGAACTCAGGCTTTAAAAACAGACCTGTTTAAAATTCAAACAACCAGGACCAGAGACATTTTGCCAGCAGGATTCCTATTACTCAGGCAGAAAATCCAGAGGCACGAACCTGGCTGGTAGCGGTGGGTCAGCCTTGCCAGCCACCAGCCAGGAGGACCGGTGGTAGGCATAGCGGTACCTCTTGTTGTCCACAGGGACGATGTCCATCAACACTATGTACTTGGCCTCAGGATCCACGCCCGAAAAGGACACCCGGATGGTAGGAAACATCCTCCTGACACAGGGAGACAGAGATAATTGGCTGGAGCGCATACCCCCTAAGGAGCTGGCTTGAATTAGGGAGAGAGGAAAAGGGCCTCAGTCCCCTCCCTACCTAGCCCTTAAAAGGTTGCTTTTGTTTCCTGGAAAGACTTAGAGATGTGAACAAGAGACCTGACTTTCTCCCACACCTAGGTAATCTTCCTTGAGTCCTCATTACTAGGTGAAAAGTTTTGTTTCTTACAAAGGTCTGTCATTAAGGAAAATCTTAAGTAACTTTACCAAGTGCATGAAACTGCTAGACGAACTGCAGGAGCAGTTCATAACCTCCTTAGTGACAGCAAGAAAACACCAGCTCCTGTCAAAGAAAGTCAAAGCAGGGTTCTCTGCTTGGGTTTCAAGAGACCAGGGGTCTCTTGAAAGCAGGGTTCTCTGCTTGGGTTTCAAGACCCCAGAGCTCTGAGAGATGGAGCAACCAGATTCTACAGGCCAGGGCTGTGTACCTGAGTCCTGGACCCAAAGGAGCCTCTCAGCTTCCTTCCCGCCCTGATCCCGCTTGGCTATCTGAGGGGCAAAGGGCCTTCTGTACCTGCACTCCATCCCACCTGGAGAGTTGTTTCAAATGTCATTCTTCTGCCTAAGTTTTGCTTTTAGTTTTGGTGAAATTAAGTCATTTCTGCACATTGACAATGATAAAAGGAAAGCTACCTGCCTCCCTCCAAGCAACCAGCATCTTGCCCTGTACCCTAAACTCCTCTCCAGATCTCTTCCCTGTGCCTCTGGGTCTTCCTGGGCTGCAGAGCCAAGGTCCCTGTCCCCTCTGTCCTTTCCATAAGACTGGGATGAGGCTTTCCCATCTTCACATCCCAAGAGAGCAAACGCCTAACAGTTTGTCTTAGCAGCTTTTTCCAACAGGAGGTGCCTGGAAGGGAGCCCTTCTTGAGCAAACCTACTCAGTGATTGTGACCAGCCCAGCGACCAGCAAGGTTTTAGCAGTTTCTGTAGTGGCCCTAAGCCAGGAAGGCGTCATCATCCCCTTCTCCCAATCCCTCACCCACCAAGGGCCAGCTACCTGCCCGACTTGGTGATGATCATCTCTGTGCCCAGCTCATGGAATTTGTCCCAGAGCTCCTTGGTCTCCAGGCTGCATGCGATTTTGGCCATTTCCTCACTAGGAATAACTGGGGTGGTGGGGATCAGTGGCTCAGTGCACAGAGAAGAAGAAGATGGGCTGCTGCCGCCACCATTGCCGCCAAACTCCCCGTGTCCATCCAGGCTAGTCAGCTCACCCAGGGGCTGGGAGCAGGATGATTTTTCGACAAATTGTTCTGCAAGAAATAGAGAATGACAGTTGATACCACCCAGCAAGGAAAGACCCAGGAAGGAAAACAGTATAACTAAAATGTTATCTGGATTAAACTTTAGAAGAATTAAACTAAGAAACTCCAGGAAGGCAGAAATAGCCCCTAACTGTGTAAATCAAGCAGGATTCCCAAGGAGTAACATGCCTGCGTGCATTCTTGTTGAATCATAAAGTTCTAGAACCAAATTTCTAATCACTATTACTGAAACCACTTTGACAAACAGAAAGGTAAGACATGGAAAAAAGGAAAGGTGGTAATCATTAGGGGACAAAAAGCAAGTATACCTATTTGTTACTCCACATCAGCTCTGAATTTCAAAATTTGTGGGATCTAACCCCCTCTCTTAGACAAGGGGTGGGGGGGAGCTTGTCTCCATGGAAATTAAAGGCATGAGCAGAAAAAATATTAGCACCTTTCTCATTCTGAGAGAACTTTCCCTTCCCTTCTGAAGCCCTCTCTTCCCCAAAGAGAAAGTAAGGGAGTGGGAGAGATGCAATTCAAAACAAAATTAAGTCACTTCATTTCTCCACCTGGTTCCCAGATTCCAGGGCTTTAGTTAGATCATGGTGTTCTTTACAATACCCTCTAGCCTAAGATCTTAAAAAAGACTCTTTCACACCGCTTGTTAAATCAGAGGAGTGATCTGTCCTGGCTGTTTTTGGAGTAATCCTAAAACAGTTGTTTGCAGCACAAATTCTCACACTCTCTTGCGCATGCACACAGGCTCCCTCTTTCTTTCTCAAAAAGGTCTTAGAAGGGAGGAAAATAACCCAAAGCCAGGCTAGCAAGGAGGACTAATGCTTTGCTATCTACCGCTAGGCTGGAATACTGCTGCCTATGAACTGCCCATTCTCCTCCACAGCTGATAAGGTCCCAGGACTACACCAGTCACGTTGATGGAATACAGGGGGAGTTTTGTGATTGTTCCAATTATCTTGCATCCCTTAAAAAAGAAACTACTTGAATCTGCAATGTGAAATTGATTTCCAAACAACTCTGTTCTAAGTACCCGTAAGGTAATGAAACAAGTTTTACAGGTATGTGGGCATCGTGGCATGTTTATATCATATAAAATGTCTTTTTTTATTTTCCATATTTTTTTGTTGTTGGGAAGGCACTCTGGAAATAGAGAATTTCTATCTTTACTTCCCTTACAGTAATAATCCAATTCATGGAAATATTTTAAATTAAAAATAAATTAATTCTTATCCTTGTATTTTCAAATTCGAAAAAAGAGAATCCATGTTACGACAAAAGCTTATTTTCAGAAAAATATTTACATAACATCTTTATAGAAAATTAACAAATTGTCAAAGGAATTGTCTTATAATATTAAAAAGCAAATTCCCTAAGCCTGGTACTAATATGTCAGGGTTTGGCAGTGAACAAAGAAATGTTCCAGAAATGCTCTAACACAGGGACATATGTCAGTAATATCTCAATAAAAAAATTCGTTTTAAAGAAATGCTCAAGTGATGAGAGGCAGTTCTTCTAAATGGACTCATTTAAAGTATTGACACGGGCACTCATGAGATTCTTTTTTGCTCTATTATCTCACTATAGTTTCAAGGTATCTATCACATCCTCTCTTAACAAACTTCAGGTATTTCTCCTGACCAGTTCTTTGATCGCTAACTGAACTCTGACACACTGGCCAGTGAAAGGGACAAGAATACCTCTGATTCTTTTAGAGCCCATCTCTAAGGTCCAGGGAAGAAACTCAATTTACCCATTGTGAATGTTTTGGGGTAAGGAGTTGGGAGTGGCTTTAGCCTTCAGAATTTGGGTCGAAGATAGGTTTCCCCAGTAAAGTAAAGAGCGAATAATAAATCAATGCTTAAATAACAGTGGAGCTGGAGCACAAGCTGGCCAAGTAGGCATCGATTGTCTACTTCTCCAGGAATTTTAACCTAAAATTGGCTTTTCCTGGTAGCTACCAAAGTGAGATGGGAGCATTTATAAATGAATTTCAAAGCCCCCTAAATAGGAGAGGATACTGCTGGGAAGTGCCACAAGCATAACTCTGAAATTCAACGATAATTTATTTCCATATAGAGAGTTTGTTTTTAATTGGCTGTGTCCATTTCTTTAGCAAATTTAGATTTTAATGGGGGTAATGAAAAGAGTGGGGAAAGGAAATGAAAATCTCAGATGAGATTTTTAGACATCATTATGCTTTCTAGAAAGAGTCTGGTTTCCTTTTCCCTAGTTTCAAAATGTTGGCAAATTTTAGTTCTCTCTTGTTTCTCTGCCCAGTCTCCTCATTTTTCATCTCTCATGCTTTATCTTTCATATTATCGTTGTTATTTTTGAATGTGAGATGCTATAGTTCTGGGAAAGAGAAGGGAGCCCAAAAATTAATGAGTAAAAAGCATTTTGTTTATTACTTGATCTTCTCACTGTTTGGGGAAGGGGGCTATCAAATTATTACAATGTATAAATATTTTCTGGGTACCCAAGAGGTAATGATGGGAACACTTCTTTCTACCTCACTTGTAAAGAGATTTTAAAACACTTATCTCCAGCAGTTTCTTTCCCACACAATTCACTTGGGCTGAACATAATCTCTGTTCTCCCTTTACTATGAGTCTAATGTCTTCTATAAATGGTAAAGGTTGTTAAATAAACAGTATAGCTAAAAGTTGAGGAATTTGGGAAATGGTTACTGGTTAATGTTTTTGCCAACCTCCACTGAAAATGACGACAGTTATAAAATGATGTCTAACTGATACGTCTAAGAGCTTCTGTGAAGAAGATGGAAGAACTGGCTTATTATTAAAGCACTCGACATGATTTTAAAGTGTTAACTCTTAGTTTAAGGGGAAAGCAAAATTCAACGAGTTTCTATTAAGTCTCAGTTCTCCTTGGCTTCAAATGTGCAAACCGGTCACAGGCATCATAAATTTTAAGCTGTTGAGCTTAAAAAGGGGTTTTATTGTTGTCTAGCCCTGAATGTTTTCATCCCAACACACCCCACATATCCAACTTGACATCAGAGTCTAGATAAATTGGTAGGAAGCGAGAATGGAGCGCACACGAGATGGGATCCTGATTGTATTTAATATGCTGTGAAGCCCGCAAAGAAAACTTGATTCCAAATGGAAAAAAAGAATAAAGAAAAGCCGAACCCTAAGGCATAGGGGTGAGAAGCTGCCAGAACCCAGGAAAGGCAGCCACCCTCCAGAGCCTCCCGCAGCTTAAAGACGGGGAGCCAGCACCCCTTACCCTGATCTCAGGGGGCAGCGGGGAGGGAGACCGACTTACCCAGAGGTTTGATGGTGTTCTCCGCGGCCTCCTTCTCCTTGGAGCCGCCGCTCGACATTAGCGCGGCGATAGAGAAGGCGTTGGCCCGGGAAGACAGCTGAGGTTTGGGTGACGCCGTGAACTCCATGGCCCCTTGTGCGCGATCCTGGCCGGGAACCCGGTCTGCCGAACGGCCGTCCAGCTTCTCCAGGGGAGACAAAGACCGAAACACAGTGCAAAGTTTCTGAATGTTGTCACAGCGGAGTCGAGGTCTGCGGAGCAGTCAGCCGCAGCCTCCCAAAACTTCCACACTGGTCTCTAGCTTCTCCCGCCGCCGGAACGCGCTGGCGCTGCAGGGGTTTCGCACTAGTGGGAGAGGACAGACAAGGACGAACGGCGGGCTCAACCCGGTGCGCAAACACCAGTGCGCCCCGCACGACCACAAGCTGCACCGCCGGAAGCTGGGGACGGGCATCAGCTGGGCACAGCCCCAGGGTCCCGCAGACCCCCTTCCGCGTCCTTCGTCCCTCCCCGCCCCAGGGTCAGCCGCGGCAGCCCAAGCCGCTGGGTGGTGGCTACCGGCCGCTAGCCGCTGCGAGGGAGGGGCGCCAGGGAGCCCCAACCCAGGCGTGCGGACGGCTGCGCGGCGGCGAGAACACTGCTCTGGGGCGGCCGCAGCCCCGCGCCTTAATTTGCTGGCGGCGGCGATCCCCGCAGCAGCAGCCAGTCAGCGCCGCCGCACGTCACCGCTTCCTGATTCCGCCGCCGGGGGCGGGGGCGGGGCCGGGGCTGCGCCGGGAGGGTGAGCGCGGGGCGCCGAGTCCTCTGGACCGGTCTGCTAGGCGGCCGCGAACTCCGTCAGTGCTCCCGGCCCGGGCTGGGCTACCACCCGCACTCGCGCGCCCTGCCGGGGCGGCCCGCCCCTGGAACTTGCAGTAGCGGGACGGGAGGGAGGTGCCCGCTGTTGGAGAAGGAATATTTGTAGAGGCCTCACATTCGGGATCCCAGGAGTGACACCCCGTTCTACTGGGAGAAAGCTTTGGAGAGTTGGCCCTTTTTTTTTTTTCCTTACCTGTGCTCAGAGTTACACAAGAAAGTTGAGAGATGCCAAAAGAGAGAGAGAGCGGCGCCAACCGGCCAGATCCCCTTCGCCTGGGAGCCCCTCCCAGACTTGGGCACCCAGCATTTGATGGGTCCCCAATATCTGCTTGACTGTGGGTTGGGAAGACTCTGCCCTGCAAAAGATACAGCTGAGGGAGGGCTGCGAAGTCTTGACAAAGGACTTTTAGAACCACGCCAAACAGTGGGCGTCTCACCCAGGGGTCCTGTTCTCTAGAAGGACTAGAGAACAGACTCTCACCAGAGTGAGAACTTAGCAGAGCCCCGGGCTTCGCGGACACGAAACCTGCTGCTTCCCACTCGGCGCTACCAAGACTCCCATGGTCTTGCAGGGGTTGTTCTGTTGGCCTTGTTCATCTTGAATTACTCAAATTCTCCGAATTCGCAGGATAATCCGCCGCACTCGGAGCCGTGTAAACTCAGACTGACACACACACTCAAGCTGTACATGTAAATATTTGCGCTCCTTTCCAGCCCCTTGGTCTAGCGATTAAGAGCCACTCGGTGGGTCTTGAAAGAGAAAAAAAGCAACCCTCCTTTCCCACTGACCTATCCGCCTTTTCACTACACCACTCCCCAGCTTGTGAATTAAAAGAATGGTTGGGAGGGGGGGGAGGAGGAGACTAGAAATAAAAAATTGAGAACTTAATGTAAGCAAATGATGACTTCTCGGTGAGTAGTGACTTAAGCCTGTTTTGCCATCGGGTAGCTATAGTTTCTTAGAAGGTTGTGCATGAAGAAACTCACTATGATCAACCTTGAAGTAGGAAGTGTGAAATGTTGGAGGGAAATTTGTAAATCCACAGGTTGGTGCTGGAAGGAGTTTAAACAGTGTTCTAGCCCCTCTCTGTTTGCTTTTAAGAGAGAAAATCTGGCGACACAGGAGGTTCTGTGTTCCAGCTAGCCCTACAGACTAGAGGCACCAGGGAGCACCGAGCTCGCACTCCGGGTCACTGTCCTGTTCACACCTTGGCCCTGCAGTTGTGCCTGAAGATTGATAATAGACCTCACACTAGCTACAGACCAAAGACTTTCAGGTTAAGCCCTAGTAAGAATGAAGACTAAACCTCTGGATGTGCCTAAGGATCAGTTTTCATTCTCTAATCCCTGATCCCGTTGCCTTTAGGACAACCCAGACTCAATCCGCACTGTTGGTTACTATTTCCCCTCTCCCCACCTTACTATATCATTTCTTCCCCCTTCTTTTGAATGTAAAGTCCGCATTGGTTATTTTCCTTGGATTTGGTTAGAATGCAAGGTTTCTGTACAGAGTGGATTTTGTGTCTGTTTAGGAGATGAGGGGAGGTGTAACAGTGAATTTAGAACTTGATACATGTTTCATCAGGGTAGCCACCATCTAATTTGTTGGATTTAGGTTTCGAAATCTTGAAATTATACCTCAGTTTAAAAAAAAAGTAAAACTTGCCCTTGTATTTCACAGAGAAAATGCAGTATTTTTTCTTAATTATCTTAATAGTGCAGACTGAAATTTGAATAATTCATGATGGGGTATTTTCAGAAAAATTGGCTGAATGAATGGAAAGCTTATTTGTTCCCAATCAGTTTCTACTTCCTTTCTCAAGTATACACGTGGCCTTAGCCCAATTTAGGGCTTCCTGTGGGCAGATAACCCCGACCATTCTTCCTATTACAGGTAAAATAGGAAACAGAAAAGGTAAGCGAACTATGCGTAGGTACATAATAAAGGTATGCGGCAAATCAAAGGAACTAAAAAGGACATTTAAATAAACCCAGGCAGGCGACAAATGCTGTTTAGGAATCAGTAACAATTTATGCATCTTCTTGGTGTTGAAACAATGGTAGTAAAACCTAACCTACAACTTAATTATCAGGGTTACACTGCTCCTACTCAGATTTATTGCCTTTGCAAATCAATATGGTGCGATAAAAACGGGGAAGCGGTATTTGGCAATAAAGTGTAGTAAGGGGTGACTCAAAGCTATCTTGAAGCTGAGAACGAGTCTTGAGGTCCTCTTAAAACCCCACTGTTAGTACGATTTAACAGGTAAAGCCATCACCTTAACGCATCACTCCAGGTCCTTCTCCAGCTGATGTTGGGGGGAGGGGCGGGATTGTTTCCAGATAACTGGAAAGACTTGGAGAAGGCGTTATTTGTGTAGACTTCCTAAACATCTCCAAACCCCGTTCCATCATCTGCATTAAAATAGGGCCAATAACTTATTCCAACTTGAGTTGAAGTGTGCAAAGCGCTCAATACTTAACGTCACCTCAATTTATACAAATAACAGAATTGTATTGCATTTAATTTTTGACTGCAAATTCTCCATCACAAAGATGTACCTCCTGAGTGCTCTTGTGGAGTTAGTTGTGTAGATGGCTTTATAATACCCTCAGAGGACTGGGGTTGCATGATGGCAATGAACCATTATTTACATACTATTAAACGTTGAAGTATAGGAATGTAAGATTTTGGTTATAAGTCTGCGGTTTGTTGGAGTTCGATTACATAAAGAACGAGTAGGTATTTTCTCATATACAACATCCTTTCAAATTCTCTTTATAGACTTTGGAATTCAAAAGTTAGTGGACCAAGAACTGTCTAGGAAGTAATCCGTTTCTTTCTTTTAGCCAATGGTACCTTGCATAACGAATGCAAACCGAACCTGTCGCTGTAAGCGGAAAGGACCAGTCCTTGGCTTGTCTCGACAACGAGAACTGCTCCTGGGTGAGAAGGCCGGCCAGGTGCCAGACCCAAGGCGCCACCCTCTGCCCAGAGATAATCGGGGGAGCTAAGGTGAGGGAAGAGACCAGCCTTTGGGCACAAGGGCAGTGATTCCCGAAAGTGGCCTGAGATTCCGTTTCCACCCTCTCTGAAAGGTTTTAAACAGAACCTGGATGCTTTCGGATTCGTAATCGTGGCTTACGGAGCAGGAAAAACGCCCAGGGCAGTAAGGGGGGAAAGGCGGAAACCCAGAGGAGGCGGCTGAGGCGCGTCCCGGGGGCCTTCCGAAAGCTGCGCGCGTCTCCGCGCCTGGCAGGCGGCGATCTGCGCGGCTTCGGATTTCACCGCCCGCGGGAGGCCCGAGCGAGCTTTTCCTCCGCGGAGTCCGGGCCTTTGGCCAGGTGCACACTGCGACGGGGTTACCTTCTTAACTCCGGGTGGTTCCCGAGAAGTGTCCCCTCCCGCACAGACCGCGAGAACCCGCCCAGAGTTTCCGCGATTCCGAGCGCCTCTGCCCGGATCCGGGTCGAAGGGCAAAGCACCCAGCCGCCGCTCGTCGGGCGCGGCCGTCGGGTTTTGTGAGCGCGCGAGCGTTTGGTCTGGGACCTTACACTGGTCCCCAGCTGTGGGCAACCTAAAACGAGTCGCGGTCCCCTCCAGGCTCCGGTCTTCAGGGAGGAAGGGAGAGGTCAGCAGGGCCGCGCCGCGGCGCAAGCTTCAGAGACCGGCCGCTCTGGGCGCGCCAGCCCGAGCTGCCTCGCTTCGAATCCCAGTCGCTGAGTTGCAAGTTCTTACCACGAGCGGGACCCGGCCTTCCTCGGGTTCACTGCGTGCGGCATCCCCAATCCCATCCTGAGAGCAGAAGTGAGGCGCGGTGCCTCGCAACGGCACAAAAGACGCTTGCTCAGGGCAACGACCCACCCGCTCCTCCTGCAGGCGCTTGTATCCCTGGAGCACAGGACCTGAGAGGCTGGCCTGAGGTTCCGCAGGCTTCCCTGATCCGAGTGAGCTAGAATTGGGTGCAGAATTCACAACGTGCCTTCAAGAATAGCAAAGAAAGATCTCTTCTGAGGTTGTGAGCATAACCTCCATACCCACTATCCCCTCTCCTCCATCTTCATCTCTCTTCTCCCATGAGTGCTCCTTCCTTCTCCTACCTTCCTCTTGGGATATTGCTGCCTTCATCCTCCCAATTGCCCCACTGCTAACGAATCCTGCCTTTATTGAAAGCGTAGGTATTTCCTACTTCTTGAATTTTTTGAGTGAATTTTTACTTTAAAATTACCGCTTTAAAGTTTTATTTCTCGATCCACTGAGCTATTTGG